TAAAAGAAAACCAACAGACCAATTGAGTGGAAATATCTGGTGTAAAACCTCACACCACGTTTTTGTTTCGACCTTGATTTTCTTCTTGTTCCGATCGAAAAACTGTAAAACACAATAGTATACCTTTAATTAATGCACATTATTGTATTTACATATGTTTAATTGCTTTTAATTGTTCGTTGGGATTGTGTTTGCTTATTGTTTTGATACCACCCCTATTTCATCATTTCTCATTCCTTAAATGGCGCAGAATTCCTTGCTCTACGTGCTTAATCAAAAACGAGCTAATTTTCCCTTCTGAATACTTTGTAAATGTGATTGTGCTTCCCGGAAAAAAAAAGAAAAATAAAAACAACCCTTTTTCCCCTTCGATAGAGAAGAGACGTACGTTATGCTTATAAGGAAGTGCACCAGGATTCAGGTGCAAGGACTGCTGCACAGGATGCTTGTTATTTATCATCGTTCCGTTTGTCATACGTAATGCACGCTTCGAATGATGTCAAAACAGTGTTAAGTAACATTGTCGAATATATATATATATACATATGCGTATGTCTGTGAGGGTGTTAGAAAGAGATACCGTGAAAAAGAGAAGAACTAATAACGTGCCTTGTAACTCGTCATAATTTTTTTGTTGCTGGCAACACTGGAGCCGTCGAACCGTAAAGGAAACAACGGCGGGATGCTTATTACAGAATGCACATTCGCGCTAAACAAAGCTAGTTGCTTTCTTGTTTTGTTATTTTTGTTTTTTTTTTTTCATTTGTTTTTTATGTTTGTTTCGAAACGTTGCAGAGTAGGTACATAAAAATCTGCTTTAGTTTGCTTTTCAGACTACGACGCCTGCTTTTTCATATGCTTAAACAGTCAGGAAATGCACTAAAAAGAAACAACATTCGTACGGTAGATTAAAAGCTGCTTCATTTAAAACACTCGCGAAAATTAAATAAACCTACTCGAGTCGACGAGCTGTGTTTCACTTACATTATTACATTACCATTAATTTCACAGTTATTATCATACTATTATAAAAGAGCTATCCATAACATATTATATATATTTATCCTTTTGTCCTTAATGTAAGTTATGTTGCGTAGCAATTATTTTATTGTATTTTTTTAGCAAAATCATTATTTGAACAGTATTATCCTTCATGAATACGTTTATATTTAAAAAAATTTCTTATTGAGTTGTTGTTTTCATATCAGTTGATCTCCCTGCTTTGACAACTGTAGTTTGTTTAATAGAAATATAATTTCGTATACACGTTGATGCATGGCTGCATGGATAATGAGTATGTCGCGTTGTCCTTTGATATGGCATCGCATCCTCTTTAGATCGCAGTTGACGTCAGATTCTGTTCGACAGCTGTCGTAAAGTATGATCCCAAAACGCTAAAGTAGATTTAGTATCGTCGAGAGGGAGTTCATTAAGTGCATGAAAGTTTAAGAGCTTTTGTTATGGTTTCGACGACGTTTTACAACCCCCTACTCGTAGTTGTCATTAAATTCCCGGGCGACAAAGCAGTACATTTGTTTAAATCTACAAAGCCAGTTTAATGCTAAATAAATTGTTATTAGTCCGAAGGAATAACCGGTTTGATATCACCCTCTTTATTGGGACAGGGTTAATTTTTAATGGGCTTTATTACGTCTACCAATACGTGTAGAAAATGATCGCCACCATCGGCAGTTTTAAGGACCTCTTGTTTTCTTTTCAGTACCTACTTAAGTAAATTTTTTATAACTTTCGTAAATGATTTTTGGAAAACGAAATTGTGAGATTATATATAGACTTTTTGATATTGATATTAAAAATTTTTATAATACAGTTGGTGACAACATCTCGATTATTAAAAGATGATATTTGCTTGAAGATCATCGGTCGTGGGTAGTAGAACATGTCTCGTATTAAGGATGTAGTAGAACTTGCGACATAATTCGGAAGATGACGTTAAAATTCTAAAACGTTTCAACATTATCTATAAATGATCAAATTTTAAAGAGCGGCAATCAATTTTGAGCTAGTCATCGTTTTCCCCAAAATCTTTCATCATCATAATGTCGTCAGTCTTAAAATTGGTTAGACACGCACCTCCACTCTTCCCTATCCTGACCTAATCTTCGTATCTCCCTAAAACTCATCTCATTCTCATCAGCCAGTAATGCTGGTGGGCGGGCAATCCCTCTGGACTATGTTGGAAGGTAGGGCGGAAGGCCCTCTTCAGCCTGCTCTCAGGAATCGTGGGAATGGGTGGGTGGTGGTTCGGGTGAGAAAGATGAGACGGACGAAATGAAGACAGAAGAGAATGAAAGATTATCTGTGGAAAATTACTGCCCCAGCATTTGCCTAAGTGATCCAAGGAAACCACAGAAAAACTTGGACCAACGCAGACGGACCCGGAATCGAACCGGTGTCCTCCGGAATGCTAAGCAATGGTCGAAACCTCGTAAAACTAGAACAACCCATATCCTTAGCTATTTGCGAACAGTAATCTAATCTACGTCTACCTCTTAATTTTCGTTTCTGCCTCTCATACGTCTCTGACTAGACCTTCGTGCCTGAGAAGGTGTCCGACTAACCTACATCGCCTATTTCTTATTGACTTCCATAGAGTCCTCTGTTCTCCTATTCTTTCGAACGCTTCTAACCTTTTTTTTCCGCCGCGCCTTCTGCCCATGATTCGCACCTGTACAGCGCCGTGCTCCTAACATACACCCTTAACAACCTTTTTCGAATTTCTAAATTAACCGTTCGCGAGCATAGAAGTGACTTCTTTTTATTGAAGGCGACTCGATCCTGCGCTATCCTTTGCGTTATATCCCTATTACTCCTTCCGTTCTGACTTATCTGACTTCCTAGATACCTAAAATTAGCAACTTCTTGTAATTTTTTGTCTCTTATCTTTATAAAATCTTTAATGTTAAAAAATATTGAGCCAATGTTTAGAAGTTTGTGTTAAATTTTTTGTCTTAGCTGTTGTGTTAGGAGTTTCAAACGTAAAACTATTAGACGAGCGTTTTTCTACCAACTTTTCCCATTATCCTGTTTTGTGTGGGTTCTAGATAATATTCATTCGATAACAAAATGTTCTGTGAGTTATCTATTCTAATACATAACAAGTTGAAGCTGTGAGTTGTGCTGTTGGTACACATTGCACAAAGAAAATTATATTCCGTTAGTCGATTAATTCAACGTTTCGAGACAACGAAGTGTAAAAAATTTGGTTATACGGGCCGGAAATAATAGCAAAAGAGATTACAAAAGCCACCAAAAATGTCGGAAATGAGCTCGAATCAGGATGGCGTTGCCGTCGCTCTCGTTAAAATTAATAAGGGTGCACTTTGAGGGTGGGATCCTGAACTTTCTCTTTGAAATATCTTTGTTATAGGTAGGTACATCCACTAACAGACTAGCTGATAGTGAGTTTGTAACATCGACTAATTCGCTATGGTCTGATGAATATTATATGGTTGATGTTTCTCTGCGGTTTGTTTTAATCATTTAAAAGAGCTCTTGCAATCAGCACAAATATATTTTTTTAAATGTACGATTAAGCGCTTATAAATCCTGTTCAAAAACCGTTTTGTCGCAATTTTATTGAAAAAAAAAGGCTGATGAAGAGTTAGATCTGTTAAAATCTTATTATCTATACGGTTTTAACAATTTTTCAATAACACCAAAGCAAAAGCAAATGCCCACATAACACGTATTTAAGACTTGTCGTTGGTTCTATGCAGAGTCCATGTTCCTATTCTAAAAATTCTTTGACTGATAGAAAAGCAAACCATTCCTGAGTAATACAGGCTGTATTTTATTTTGTTATAAATAGGTTTACAGTTCGAAAGATTAATTCCATTTTTTCTTTATTACAATAGACAAAAATTTTCAGTCTCTCGCCAGTCTCTCAGAGTCTTTCAGCTTCTCAGAGAGCGTCTCTCACAGTCTCTCAGTTATTATCTAAGTGTTTTTAAGGATCTCTCACAGTCATACAGTATGAGAGACTCGAGCGATAAAATTGTTATATCAGAGATTCGAGTCTCTCACATAGAGATTAAATGAATAAAACTGAAAAATTGAGAGACTCGAGTCTCTCGTAGAAAGACTGGGATCTCTGAAATATGTTGAACTTAGAAAATTTTAACCATGTCTATCGAGACACCACTTATTGAGAGATTCGAGCCTCTCGTTCAGAGATTCGAGTCGGTCGTTCAGAGACTGGATACGAAATGAGGATCTCTCTATGAGCTACTCGAGTCTCTCGTTCAGAGACTGGATACGAAATGAGGATCTCTCTATGAGCTACTCGAGTCTCTCGTTCAGAGACGCTAAACAATTTTTTTGACAGTCTCTCGACAGTCTCTCTCAGTGACACCAGAGAGACTCGTTGAGAGACGGAGACTCGAGTCTCGCTTTCAGAGACTCTGAGAGACTGAACATTTTTATCTCGGGCAACTATAGAAGTTTCCACATGTTTAAATTATGTAGAAAAATTAAAATTCGTATAGAACAATTTTCTTATGTTTTATATATTTAACTTGTACTTATTAGGAATCTTGTTTGAAACTAATGTTAAGTATTCTGCTATTACAAAATTAATTTGGTTGGAAATGTATATTTCGGACAAACGAATTTTTCATTTCCGTTTAACTAGGTTGATTATTCTGAGTAACAAAGTCGAAAAGTTAAAATACTCGTAGCTTCATATTATCTGCTCCAATTGTAGTTTCAGTGGTATTTAATTAGAGGCTAAAGTTTCAAATCCCATTAAAAAGAAAGTTAGATTTGCCATTATTCATTCTCATAACGATGAACTTCTTATTCTCTATTTCTCTACGTAAATACGAGAAATAGACCAACTTATTTGAATGATGTATCATCGTCCAAATAGGGCTGGCTTGGTTTATCAGTTTACCTACTTATCTACCCTAATTAGACTAGAAACGGAATGTTGTTTCGACTTCGTTGTGTAACTGATGGGTTTTTGTTTTTTGTTGCAGAAAGTCTGCGCGAATACTTTAGCAAATATGGCGATATTACAGAAGTTATGGTAATGAAAGATCCTGCAACGCGGCGGTCGAGGTAAGTGGTGCTATTTGCAAAAACTTTCCGAGTAATACGACCAAAAACTGCTCCCGTTTTTATTTATTTGGTTTCGCTGTTGACCGTAGAACAACTACACGTTGCCAGCAAATTTTCTCACCTTGTTACATGACACCAACATTTAGGGAATATGATTGATGACCCGTTTAATTAACTGTCACTTGTTTTTTTTTGTTTCATTTGTCGAGAAAAACGTGTCATTTGCTCAAAGAAATTGCAATTTAAAAGCTGTACAAAGAGATAATGTTTTGTATTGTTGATAATAATCGTCGATCAAACAATGAAAATGGACTATAATAAATATAAATCATTTAGTGCATTTAAATAAATTAGAGCTTTTGATCTTTGAAATGAAAAATAGTAAAATATTTACTGCGGGCGTTGTTTATTAACTAAACTTCACTCACTTGTTGTAATTAATATTTGAATCTAAATTGAATAAAGGGAATGAAGTAAATTCATATAGATACCTATATAAAACGTAATTCCATTGGTTTCGATTGCACTCGTAATTAGCTAATACATATGTACATACGAGGGTGGATTGATAAGTTTCCGGCCTAACCAAGAGATGACGCCACTAGGCCTACCTTGAGGTGACATTCTATAGTACCATCCTTGGATAGCTTGTAGCTATAGTTTCAGCCCGATCTCCTTGCTAGTGTAGGTTTGACAGCACGCTGAACAAGACGCCTCTGTGGTTTTCGTAAAAATGGAAAAGCAGGAAAATCGTNCAAACAGTTTCATTGTAATATGAATAATAAGAAATAAAAAATATACAATCTGTGATATTTAAGGAAGATAAAAGAGAATTTGTTGTTTAACTGTACGTTAAATAAATTTGTAACGCATTTCTTTTAAATAAGTAAATTCGTAATTTTAGTGTCATCGAAAGAGACAAAATTGAATTTATCTTAAGGTGGATAGAGCAAACGAACAAAATTCTATCTACGAGAGACCAGATTTTTCTAAAACTTATATCAAACCTGAATATAGCTGTATATCGACAAGTTGAATTCTCACTTTTACGGTTTTGTCTAATTAATATTCTTGATTAGTTTTGTTGTCTAATAAGAACCTAATAGAAAATTAAAAGTTATTTAAGGCGTCACGGTTTGTGTCATAACAATACGTTTGTATAGATACCGTTGCCGGTTTTTTCGATGCGATATTAATCAACAAGAATAATCAATTTTGTTGCTAGTTAATATCAAAAAGGGTTGCACCGATTGTTCAATGCGATCAAATGGTTTTCAAAACACCGTTTAAAGCGATGATGACACGCTATCATTTAATCCTGTAAGCGTGATTTAGTTTTTTTAAATATGATCAGAAGCATACGAAAATTGATTATCGTGCTCTTTTTATGAATCCGGAAGGTTATTGATGCCTTTAATTTTGTTGATAGGTATTATTTTTGTACTGAAATTTTCTATGAAAGGTGCCAATCAAATGTGTGGGTAATTCTGGATTAATTTTGTTACTGGAACAAAATAACAATTGTGGAATGTGATTATAAAATTGTCTTTTATAAAACTGATATTGCATGTAGAATAATTTTTATTGTGGTTGGGTACTTTTCAATCCATTGTTTATGTAGGTAATGATAATTATCTAAACTAAAAGAAGATCTTGAAGGAAAAAGCGCTTAAGTAATATCTAAATTACCAGTATCACCTTACTTGCAGCAATTGAAATGAAAAATGTTATTATCATGTGTTTCAAAATAGTAGACACATCTAATCTCGAAAGAGTACATTTCAGCAAACGGGGACTTCATTATTATGACATAAATTGACAAATATTGTAAATATATGAATTTAAGCGGCTCAATAAGTTTCATTCAGAGAGGACTTGTACGTTATCATCCAGGACTAGTTGAACATGCACCTCCATTTCGTCCTATTTTAAGTCAATCTGCGCCTTTCTCAAAAACTAGAGCAATTTACATTTCAAACTATTACCTAGGGCTACCTCTTGCTCTCTTAACTCTTTTTCTGCGTCTATTATGTCTAGCCCTTCAGTCTGAGAAGGAGTCGCCTATTTTATTAACGCCCTCTGTTCTCCTACTTATTCTACTTCGTTACATTTTTTTTTATGGTAGTTTCATGAACGATTTTTAATAGCTACCTACCAATTTTCCTATTCTTCTTTTAAATGTTTTCTAGGTACTTATCGTCCCATATAAAAAATTAAAATTCAGTTTCTCCGCCTGTCTCATTCGTTCTATGTTTCGCGGTTCCTATCCTTGTCATGTTCCATATTCGTAATAAAATCTGCATTAGAACGACTGTATAAGGCTGCCTTGCGCCTGATAGTAATAAATTATAGGAGCGTACGAAACACAACGAAGGAACTAAATCATGCCCATAAAACCGCTCCTATTATATAAATTAGGCATGCGAGTTAGTGTGGTGTGGGTGATGCCCAAGTGTGGGAATAAGCTTTCTCGTAACCGCCGCGACGACCATGGGGCTAAATTAATCCAGTTGTTCGGTCTGTCTCTCTCTCTCTCTCTCTCGCTCTTCAGCGAATTAATTAATAGTTACATACAATTTTTACACTTATCTAAAGTAATTTCAAAATTCAAAAACGATACGAAATTCTTCAAGGAATTTTTCATATGATCCACCAAAAAAATATGAAATGAAAGATATTTCAAATTGTAACTCTATTCTTTAAAACGTCAAATAAAGCTCCCAGAAAAAGTTGCCCTGGAATGCATTGCATAAGATATCAACGAAACCCTTTTGAAAGACAAAAATATAAACCACATAGGGTCGTAAAAGTTGAAAATTAGCCCGATTTAAAATGTCTTTTATAATCTCACTGGATATTATAGCGATTACCGGGACGTCAAGATCGAAAAATGATGTGATTTTGAAAAAAATTCCAACCCTCTCTTTAGTGGTTTACATCGTCAGGGGTTAATTACAGTAAGAGCCCGGTTGCATTGAAGTTACATGGAAAGTTGTTAACGGTTTATCCGATGGTTTATACTTTTGCCTGCTGATTTTACTATGCCCACTTCAAAGGGGTATCAATGAAATCTGGTTATCAGCGTGTTTTTCTTTAAGCAGTGGCCACCAGAATTTGATCTAATGCTTTCTATGACAACAAGCTTGTTGTCGTATTTGTTCATTGAAGGCAACTCAGAGAACTATTTATCTAACGCCAAATATATACAACACCTTTCAAACCTAATTTTAAAGTTTCACCGGTAGACGAGGTAAATGCTAATGCAAATACATGTACACACACATACATAGGTATATATACCTAACATACATTCGCATCTAGCCACTTGTATAATTATAACGAGATGTCTAGGAGCAGCAGTTTCTGGTCTGGTTTCTCGGCGTTCAGTTTATTTCTTCCTCTAGCACATTCGTTTCCTTCGAAACCTAAAGAGAAATTCCTCGTCCTTTGTACGTCCTGTTTTAAGCGCAAGAATAAACCATAGGTTAGAGACGTTCGTTCTCACTTAGAAACCGCATTTCAAAGTTTCGTAAAGTTCGAGTAATTACAGTTGGAGGTTTGAACGTTTGGAAGATGCTTTGTCGTTGCTTACAATAATTGTTGTTAGCTACTGCGTGGTGCAGGTATATGGAAAGTACGTCAGAATTTGCTAAGAGCAGTGGTGAAAATTCCGTGTGACTTATTTTAAGAGCCTTTTCACACGAGCTACATTTTGTAGCGCTTCCGTTGCGCTACAGTAGCGTGACAGTTGCTAGTTCGTATGTAAAAATACCGATTTCTTGCAGCGCTTCGATTTTGTAGCCGATGTAAAAACGTATCTATTTCAAATTTAAAGAAACAGTTATTGAAATAAAGTCGCAGAAGAAAGACAAAGAGGAGCTTACTTTATTAGCGCTTCTGATAAATTAAAAAAAAAAAAACAGCTGGAGGCACTGTAGAATACATCCCGTAATAGCACCACGTAGAAGGTGTAAAAAGTATCCACAAAAAGTAGCCCAGTTAACGAGTCGCCAATGATTGGGAACAGTTAACGGTTTTGTAGCCACGTTATCTTAATTTTATCGCAAGCGACAACTGACGAAACACACATACCTATTCGTGACCTTCGCTACAGCTGACACGTAGATAGGCCAATTTCACGTAATGATGCGATCATCAGCGTTTGATTGCCAATGTTACTGCTAATACCACAAAATATAAAAATAAATTGAGTATGAATATATATGAAGATAAAACTAATGAATCGCATCATTGCTGGGCTTTTGGTAAGGTCACTACCCTCATGTTTATGTTTATCACTGAGTGGTGCGAGATGGCTCAATCAGATGATCAAACGTAGTGTATTTCCCAATATTAATTATGAATTACAGTTAAAAGTTTTTTAATTTTTAAAATACTGCATCGACGTTTCGCATTGACAAGAGTAAGAGTTTCTCATATTGAATTGTTGATCCTTTTATATTAAAATGTTGGTATATTCGGTTCTAATCTGTATTTTTTTTGTTGATAATATATCTTCACAAAATATAATCGTATGAAAGAAAGTATCGGCGCATTTGTACTACTCAGCTTTACTAAAAACTGACTTTGAATGGAGAACTGATAATAACGTTAGTTGCTACTTACTTTTTACTGTAATGCACCCTCATTCTACATATTTTGTATGGTGTTTAAAGGGTATGCGTACACTGTCCATTAAAAGTTTTATTTTTAAATGAAGCAATTTTTACACGCGAGCAAAATTCGACTCATACTTTCGTAACTTTCCGTCAAATTGTTCACATTCGGTCCATTTTAAAAGTGACAGCAGAGGGTGCGGTTTCGTTGAAATTTTTCACTTGCGTCGTATCCGAAGCGGTGCGGCGCGACGCGACGCGGTAGGTGATGTGTGCGGCGTGGTAGAGACGGGTATTCCGAAGCGGAAACGGGTGATAACTTTGACGTTTTGTTTACGGCGGATTTGAGATTGCTTTATTTTCGCAACGCTTTGTTAGAGACGC